ACTTTCCACATGGTAACTTCAATTATTTTAAAACACTGTTAACTCTGTTGCTTAACACATTGCAGCTCTCCTCCATGCTCAGGATCAAGTCTAGGTTTAACAACATTCCTTATTATCTGGCCTCTCTAGCTCATTGTTGCTGTTTTTCTAAGTTGGGTCTGGGCCTACTGCACAACTTGCAATTCCCTGCCTGCACTGCCTAGAAAGCCACTCCTTAATATTTTGTTTGGTTTTCCCTTTCCTCCAGGTTGAAGCTTGGCTATCAGTTCCCTGCAGAAATTAGGGGTCTGCCCATGTGCTCCATAGTATTCCATGCTGGTGATATATGACTTGAATATGAAGTACTGTCCTCATCAAGGTGTGTATTAAAGGCTTGCTCCCAAGCGTGTGGCACTACTGAGAGGTGGCTAGATCCTGAGGGTGCTAATAGCTAAACAAGTTATTTATTAGAAGTTGGTCCCAGTCAAAAAAAGCAAGCCTCTAGCTGTGCTCTGGAGAGGCATCAGTTGTTTCTTGAGAGGAGCAGCTCCCGTGTTGTACCTTACCTCAGGCCCAGAACAATGGAGACAGCGAGGATGGCTTGAACCCCCAAATCATAATAATCCTTTCTCCCTCAAGTTGATTTTCTATTTTGTCACAGCACCAAAAAGTACACATTGGGTCCTAGTACTTGTACTAACAGTGTTTCCCTCAGATTTCTCAGGGGCTTGTGGTTGCTAGGCAGGTGCTCTGCCACTTGAGCCATACCACCAGCCCTTTTTGCTTTTATTTTTCAAATAAAGTCTTATTTGCCTAGGCTAGCCTGGACCTTGATGCTTCTATTCATGCTTCTGCTATAGCTTTAAAGACATGTACCACTGCACCCAGCTTTTTCTGTTGAGTTAGGGTCTTATTAACGTTTCCATTGGACTTGCCTTCAACCACAATTCTCCCAATCTCAACCTCCCTAGTTACCAGGATTCTGTGTGAACCACTTTATCCAGCCTAGTTTGACCTTCTTATCTAAATATTTCTTGGTATTGCTTTTAGAAGGGAAGCATTTCTTCCCAGTGGGCTAACTCCTAAGCTTGTAGAATTGTGTACTTTTCTCAGCCTTCTTCACTGAGTATTTCAGTTAAACGTGTCTGATTAAGAAGTGTCAGCATACACTAGGGATGTGATGTGAGACAATGTCTTTTAAGGCAACTCATAGTCATGTTTTGCCTGCTTGGCAATGACTGCTTAGTAATTACTCCTTTCCCCATCTGTATGTGTTCACCACTTTCTGACCCTCCATCTTCCAAATCCAGACAAACTATTTTAGAAATGAAAACCTATATTTTTGTGTGAAGAGTCTTACTTGCTTAGCTGTTAATTTTATTTTCTTTGGACTCAGGAAAATCTGAAGACTAGGCCATTGGGCGAGTATGACTCACTAGTAGAACAGCACTACTGCATCTGCCAGCTATCCTCTGTGATTAAAACAACTGTTGGTTTGCAAAGGTATTTAGTACAATGCTGGAGCACGTTAAGACTCTGGTATATTGTTACCTGACATCACTCTAGTTTTTAAATCTGTATTCTTGTTGGCGAAAGAATGGTTGTAATATTAGTTTTTGTCAAATGTAGAGGAAAAGCAGTTCTCTGGGAACTCCTCCAACCTGTGTTATTTTACAAAGTAATAGCAAATGCATTGCTGAGAGGGTCACTGTGCTTCAGTCCTGATAGAGAGGAGTAAACACAACACTACATAATTCTTTTCTAGGCTGGGAAGTAATGGGTGGGAAGACCAGGGAAATCAGATACTCAAATTTCAGCACATAATTATTCAAATAAAATTTTAATGATTTCAGTTCAATACAACTGAAAATGTAGTGTCATTAAATGCCATTTTCTGCTAAATTTCAAATTACAGCTTTGTGGGCCATTGCTGAGCAAAAGCGTCATATCCTACTAAGTATTCAGCTTATTAACTAAGATAACTGACAGTATCATGACAGGAGGTGGGGAAGAACTACAATCAGCTCATAGAAATTGACTAACAGAGAAAAAAACAAACAACAAAACCAACACAACTTACAAAGTAGCTACAGATATTAGTAAAATAAAAATACAACCCCAAATGTCCATGTCTTAAGTTACTAGGGGGAAAAAACCTATAGGTAAAGTTATAGCAAATACAGTCCTCACACATTTGGGTGAGTTTATTTGCACTTCATATTGACTTAAGGCCTAAATCCAATGAAACCATTTTAAAAGCTCTATGAGGAATGGAAATTTCAGTGTCCCTGACACTTTTCTTTTTAAGAAGAGCTCTTAAATTTCTGAATGGGCAAGATTTACTTTAGTAGGCAGAGGCCCTGCTTCTTCATGATCTTCAGCTTTAGATCTAACAACCACAAGAGAAGAAGCTGGATATTTGCTTAGCTTTTGTTCATTCACAAATTCCAAGTCACCATAGATACTCAGCTTCTGCAACAAAAAACAAAACAAAAAATTATTTCCAAATAGCAATTTAATCAATCGATATTTAGTTAAAAAAATTCTATAAATACTTTTGAAAAGGAAAGGAAGTATTTAGCAGGGTTCTGGTGGCTCATAACTGAAATCCTAGGTACTCAGAAGGCTGAGCTCTGAGGATCGTAGTTTAAAGTTAGCCTGGGCAGGAAAGTCCATGAGACTCATGTACAATTAATCAACAAAAAACTATAAGTAGAGCTGTGGCTCAAGTGGTAGTGTTCTAGCCTTGAGTGAAAAGCTAATGGATGGCAACTAGGACCTGAGTTCAAAAAATCCAAAAAGTATTATTCAAAAAATCCAAAGTATTAGAGATGCTATGATTCAGGTTCTTTGAGTAAAAAAGCTAAGGAACAGCAACTAGGTCTTGAGTTCAAACCCCAGTACCAGCACAAAAACCAATAATAAAAATCCAAAGTATTAGAGATGATGTGATTCACGTTCCAGCAGATGTGTAAAGACTTCCCATGTGACCTAAGGCACAGCAAACTAGTACCAAGTGGAGTTAAGTTTATATAAAGTTAAGAGTACTCATATTAACAGCTCTGACTCTGAAGGCTAAAACGACCAGGTTCTTTAAGATCTTCTAAAGATCTTTAAGATCTTTAAGATCATTCTGAGTAGCAACAGGATTTGGTACAAATGTTAATTAAAAAAGAGAAAATAAGGGCTGGGAAGATGGCTCAGTGGTAGAGCGCTTGTCTTGCATGCAGGAGGCCCTGGGTTCCATTCCTCAGCACCACATAAGCAAAAAAGAAAAAAACCGGAAGTGGCGCTGTGGCTCAAGTGGTAGAGTGCTAGCCTTGAGCTGAAGAGCTGAGGGACAGCGCCCAGGCCCAGAGTTCAGGCCCCACGACCGGACTCTCCCCCCCTGCCCCCCCCAAAAGAAATGGGAACAAAGCATCAAAATTTTATGAAACTAAACTGACACTAATTCAGCTCACTGGTAGTGGTTTAGAGCCAGTTGGGGCAGACAAATCCAAGAGACTCTTATCTATAATTAATCTGCAAAAAGACAAGAGGTATGGCATAAGTGGTAAGGAAAAGCTGAGTAAGAGCTTGAGACTCTGAGTTCAAGCCCCAGTACTGGCACCAAAAAAGAAAGAGAGGAAAGAAGAAGAATGGAGAAAGAGAAGAGAAGCTAGGAGAGAAGAGAAAAAGATACTAATTGAGGATAACCAAGTAAATGATAGCCTTTGTTTCTTCTAAAATAAAAACTGATTATTAATATGTATTGCAAACTGCTCATACTGGAAATAAACAGCACACTAACTATGGATGGTAGAATGAGTGATTTTCCTGCCTTACAGGTGCATAAGTGCGTAACACTTTTATAGAAAAACATACTTAAACAAAATTATTACCTTGCCAAAGTATAGTTTCACATGTAAAAGTCAAGTCTAAAAGTAATACATCCAAATGGCTCTTTTAAATAAACAACAACCAAAAACTACCCCAAATGGTTCTTTAATGCACATTTTCTCAGAAAATGTATTTCCTTAGAAGAGAACAGGTTCTCTTAGAATGCAGTCATCATTTTAACTGCCAAGGATAGGAAGAAGAGACCATAGTGAAGGGGAGAGCGCCTTCATGGCTGATTATCCAGAGGCAATGCAATGGCAGCCAACAAGGCCACAAGTGTGTCTCTGATGCTATACGGTTTATGGTGACAGAGGCACACATCTAGGAATGATGTGATATACTCCCCAAGAACTGAGGGGTGAAATTTTCTCACAAAATTAAAAAGATATATGCTCCCAATAAAACTTAACCCAACAGAGACATCAACTCTAAGAAAAAGAGCAAAAGTCACCTAAAGGGAAGAAAGATCCTCATGTCTAGCATATCTAACCAAAAGTATGAGAGGCACTAAAGGGCGAAAACACCTCCAGAAGAGGAGTTACCTTTGTAAGTAAAGGGAAAAATAAGCCGGGCGCCGGTGGCTCACACCTGTAATCCTAGCTACTCAGGAGGCTGAGATCTGAGGATTGCGGTTCAAAGCCAGCCCAGGCAGGAAAGTCCATGAGACTCTTATCTCCAATAAACCACTAGAAAACCGGAAGTGGCACTGTGGCTCATGTGGTAGAACACTCCCTTGAGCTGAAGAGCGCAGGGATAGCGCCCAAGCCCAGAGTTCAAGTCCCACGACCAGCCGCCCCCCCCCCCCAAAAAAAAAAAGGAAAGGAAAAAATAGAGCTGCATGAATTGCCTGGCTGAGAACCATTAGATAAAAGTTTTGGGCATTGTGGGGCTTACCACATCATGAATCAGGTGGTCGCAGTGGTTTCTATCTTTGACACACAGGACAGCAGCTCTTGATAAGAGTCATATAACCATCTCCCCTTCTTAGGATTCTAGGCTAACCAAAGGAAGTTAGCTAAGAGCAACAGCTCTGGAGTCATACTACTAGAGTTCATGTCCGGGTTCTAACACTTCCTGATATTTAACACTGGGGAAATTACAAACTCTCTCCTGAAGTTTCTTCATCTGAAAAATGGGGATGACAACAGCAGTCACCTTACACATGAAACACTCAGAACAGAACCCATTAGAAAGCACTGAACACTAGTCAGAAACCAGGCTATGGGGATTCATCAGGGTAAATTCTACCTGAAGCTGGTTTTAGTCTTTCTAGGCAATAGCTAGACCAATGGATATATATGTATCTTCCTTTAACAAGAGGCTTCCCAGAAATAAGATATAGAGAAAGGAACCAACTATCCCTGGGTATTTATTTATTTATTTAAATTTATTTTTGGGTCCAGTCGTGGGCCCTGAACTCTGGGCCTGGGCACTGTCCCTCAACTCTTCAGCTCAAGGCTATTGCTCAACCACTTGAGCCATGGCACCACTTCCAGTTTTTTTCTTTTTGCTTATGTGGTGCTGAGGAATTGAACCCAGAGCCTCATGCATGCAAGGCAAGCACTCTACCACTGAGCCACCTTCCCAGCCCTCCCAGGGTATTTATTATCATAAGTTTGCTGCTTGGTCACCATGAGGATTTAGACTGCATGAGGCAGTTCATGGGAAAAAAAAAAACAGAAAAGACAATTCTATGCAAGATGTGCAATTTCAGCTTTACTAGGGAAAATAAATTTCTTAAGATAAAGAAACCAGAAGTATAGCTTGGTGGTAGAGCACTTGCTTAGCATGTACAAGGCCCTGGGTTCCATTATCCAGCATAGTAAAATTAATAAGTAAATAATTAAAAAATACATATCAGGGAATATAGCAGGTAATCTAGAAAAAAGGACACTGTCAGTATATTCATATTATAAACAGAAGAGGGCTACAGATATTTAGCAATCATCCCTTATAATGAAACAAAACCCCTTTATCTTAACAATTAAGCTTCTTAGACCATTATATTTTAATTCCCAAATAATTCACACAATGGTCTTCCAACTCTCTGGTAGTTAGCAATCAGAGCAAAATAACTAAGAATCAAAAGTCCCAGTTTTGTGGCTTCTAAAGTAACAATTACTTCTGAACAGTCATGGCAATTGGCTCAAAATTAAGTGGTCTACAAGTGTTCTTTTCTATATACTATCTTAGAAAACTGTATCAACCTTTCTTGTCAGTCTCAGAGTACCAGGGAGACATTACTCAAGCCAGCCAACACATATCACCCAGAACACTGGAACCAGGAATTTGAGCTAGTGATTGCAAATTTACAATTTTCATGTGTGTTAACTTCAAACACATAGGGTAAAGTCCTCAGATCTTCTCTCATTATATTAGTACAGAGGCTGTTTCTTTTTACTAATTAAACAAATAAGGCACTTAAAATGGTTTGTATCATGGCTCATTCTTCAAATGGCCCAAGGGTTAGAATTAAATTTACCTCAGGGGGAACATACTGTTCCACAGCTGTAGCAACAGCTGCACAACAAATCCAGAGCAAAACCATCACTGAGAGGACTAGAGTGGTGGTTAAAATCCACCCAGAGTTTCTAAAAAACAAAACAAATGACAATTAGTCATATTAAAACTCACAATGTAAAAATTAGGAGAGTCTTAATTAGGCAATCAACCTTATGTATTTACTTACCTGAATTGAAATTTGGTGCGCTAACTTTAAAATTATTTAAAAGACATGATTATAGAAGGAAAAATAAGAGCCAGTATGTTAGGGTGATATGACATTTTCTTTCTCTTTTTTTTTTTGTTGGTCATGGGGCTTGAACTCTGGGCCTGAGCGCTGTCCCTCAGCTCTTCAGCTCAAGGCTAGCGCTCTACCACTTGAGCTACAGCACCACTTCTTGATATGACATTTTCTTCTATTCCAAAAGTTTCTGTAGCCTGGCTAAAGAACTTGTATAATAATAATAATCATAATAACAATAAAACCAGTCACATTGCTTCTCTGCTAAGAGTACTTCCTAATTACTAAAAATAAGTATCCTATAAATTTAAGTCATATAAATGTTACAATTATTTTACAAAGTATTATAATTATACTCACTTTAAGAAAACTGTATCCCAAAAAATTAAAGTATACAATACATACATTATGAGATGATTGTTTTATAAAAGGATTCACAACAGATTTCTAGAAGTCAGTTTCTTATAACAGCTCAAACATTTAACTGGCAACAATTTATTTACATTTCAAATGAAAAGAGCACATCTATTAAGAGGCATCTTGTGGCTATTATAATCTGTCTTAATAAAGAGTTATATTTTACTTATGATTAAAACATTTTAAGGTAGAAGGCCAGTTTATGAGAATCAGTGATTGAGGTTTTTTTTTTATAATGGATTTAATAAGATTCAAAACACATTTTTTAATACTAAAGGATCTAATTCTGAAAAACTATATAATTTAAAAGAGTCACTGCTCATCAAACATTGCCTAAAAAAGACCTGTATTACCACCATAAACCATTCACTTGAGGGTTTGTTAACATTGGGGCATGCAAAAGGAAAAGGTACCGCTGGACACTGTTGCCCAGAAAGTGAAATGCAGGGAATTCTGCTATAAAGCTTTAAGTGAAAAAATACTCACTTTCCTTTCCTTTTTAAAATTTTTATTTTGTCAGTCGTAGTGCTTGAACTCTGGGCCTATCCCTCAGCTCTTCAGCTCAAGGCTAGCGTTCTACAACTTTGAGCCACGATTCTACTTCTGGTTTTCTGGTGGTTAATTGGAGATGAGTCTCATGGACTTTTCTGCCCAGGCTGGCTTTGAACCTCGATCTTCAGGTCTCAGCCTCCTGGGTAGCTAGGATTACAGGTGTGAGCCACCGGTGCCCAGCTACTTTCCTTTGTTTTTAAGGAATTTATATCCATGAAAAAGAAAGGTATGTTTGATATTTGGACTGCAACAGCAAAACAGAAAACTGGGGTTCATCTTAGAATCCATCATCTTCCTCACTCCACAGAAAAACAACTCCTAGATCTTATAGATTCTCTACTATCTCCATTATCTCTTGATTTTCTTGTCCATGGCTCTAGTTTAGGCCTTATAATTTCTTGGTTAAAGCTCTCTAGCCCGGTCCTGATTACCCTTCACATAGAGGGTTCTTAACACATTGATTTCTTTGCCACTGTATTTGCAGGAGTTTACCTGGTTTGGTCTAATTTTTGGCTCTTTGGGCTATAGTACAAAATGATACATCTTACACATTCAGCTGAAAGACAGCTTATCTGAAATTCTAAAAAAATTAACGTCGCCAGTTGCCAGTGTCTCATCACTGGTAAACCTAGTTACTCAGGGGACAAAGATCTGAAGATTATGGTTCAAAGCCACCCCTGGCAGGAAAGTCTGTGAGATTCTTTTTTTTGGTTGGTCATGGGGCTTGAACTCAGGGCCTAAGCAATTTTTGCTCAAGGTTAGCACTCTACTATGTTAAGTCACAGTGCTACTTCCAGCTGTGAGATTCATATCTCCAATTAACTTCCAAATGTCAGCCAGCACCCAAGCCCTAAGTTCAAGCTCCAGTGCTAGCACACTTATACCAAAAAAAAAAAAAAAATCTCTTCCTATAACTAGCAAAAAGCTCTATTCATCATTAAAGACTTATTTCTATCACCTCAATATTTTCTTTTTCTTTTTTTCAGTTGGTCGTGGGGTTTGAACTCTAGGTCTGAGTGCTGTCCCTCAGCTCTATTAGCTCAAGGCAAGTGCTCTACCACTTGAGCCACAATGCCACTTCCGGTTTTCTCCTAGTTTATTGGAGATAAGAGTATCACAGACTTTCCTGCTTGGGCTGGCTTTGAATTGCGATCCTCAGATCTCAGCCTCCTGAGTAACTAGGATTACAGGTGTGAGCCACCAACTCCTGGCAATATTTTCTTCTCCTTGAAACCTCTAATGGATTTAGGGATATTCCTATGCTCTGCACATGAAGTATATGGAAAGGTGTGTGCATATGTGGAGCAACTACTAATCATTTTCAGGTCTGTCTAGACTTAAGAACTAAACAGAGGCAGAAAGTAACACCCCTTTCACTTCCTATCATAGCTGGGAAAACAGGCTTACACCACTATGGAGAGGGAGAGAGAGAATAACAAAAAATATTAAGAAAGGGAACCTTAGTTTCTTAGACAAACCATATTCATCTTTTATACATAGAAGAAAGAATACATACAGAGAGAGGCATCTCAAAAAGCCATCACTTTCTCCATCTTCAAGATAGTTTCTGTGTGCCTGGGAACTTCTCAAGTGCAGATCTGCTGAAAAAATAAGGTCCAAGTTTATATCTTATATTCTAAACGCTAGTCTCATAACTACTTCTAGGTAGAAACACTGTACAGACATCTAATTGCTTTCAATGACATATTTTATAATCTGTGAAAATTCATCTGGTACAACAGTGATGAAAAGTTATTTTACCATATTATTGGTTTCCTGTTTAATTTTCAAATTCTTGACATTGATACTTTCTATTTAAAAACATGTGGGCTTGAATAATAGAATTTGGTTTACTCTAATCAAAACTGTCTATATATGTTATGTGCTATTATCCACCCATTCCCATTCACCAATATAATCAGCAGGTTAATTAAATAAGTATTTAAAATAAAAGTTTTAAAAGGTACTCTCTGCCTTAGGTTGATATTTTGTGTTTTTATGGGTTAAAATTCACTTCTACTATGAAAATAAAATAGGAAACATTTTTCAGTAGTTCTACCATTTAATTTATTGGGAAATATCTAAATGTTTGATTGGTTCATACTTAAAACATCCTTTGCTGGGTGCTGGTGGCTCACTCCTGTAATCTTAGATACTCAGGAAGCTGAGATCTGAGGATTGAGGTTTGAATCCAGTCCTGGCAGCAAAGTCCACGAGACTCTCAACTCTAACTAACCACCAAAAAGCTGGAAGTGGCTGGGTGCCTGGAATTCTACTCAGGAGACTGTGACCTGAAAATCATGGTTCAAAGCCAGCCTGGAGAGGAAGTCTATGAGATTCTAATCTCCAATTAACCACAGAAAAAGTTGGAAGTGGTGCTATGGCTCAAGTGGCAGAGTGTTAGCCTTGAGCAAAAGAAGCTTAGAGATAGCACTCAGGCCCAGAGTTCAAGCCCCAAGACTGACAAAAAAAAAAAAGCAGACAGAGCTGTGGCTCAAGTGGTAGAGTGCTAACTTTGTATACAAAGCTCAGGGACAGCACCCAGGTCCTGAGTTCAAGCCCTAGTATAGACACATATGTACGTATACACACACACACACGCACGCACGCACACATGCTCGCAAACACAAATCCTTTGAAACAAGTTAAATATTTTTGAATAGTGCTTTTCAAATGTCTCCATACCAATAGCATCAGCAAAAATGTAGAACTTGTTAGAAATACAAATCCTCAGATCACTTCTCAGATCTAGTAAATCAGAAGATGGGCAACTAATTCTACCAGATTTAATGCTAATTTTTTTTTGGGGGGGGGTCCGGTCATGGGGCCTGAACTCTGGACCTGGATGCTGTCCCTCAGCTCTTCAGCTCAAGGCTAGCACTCTACCACTTGAGCCACAGCACCACTTCTGGCTTTTTTTTTTCCTGCTTATGTGGTGCTGAGGAATCGAACCCAGGGCCTCAGGCATACAAGGCAAGTGCTCTACCACTGAGCCACCTTCCTAGCCCCTTGATGCTAATTTGTTTATTTAAAAAATTCTTTTTTTGCCAGTCCTGGGGTTTGAACTCTGGGCCTGTCCCTGAGCTTCTTTTGCTCAAGGCTAGCACTCTACCACTTCTGGCTTTTTTTGTGTATGTGGTACTGAGGAATTGAACCCAGGGCTTCATGCATGTGAGGCAAGCACTCTACCACTAAGCCATATTCCCAGCCTGATGCTAATTTTTTATACAAGTTATTTAAAATAGAACTTACAGGACATTTTGCTCAGAGATGATTCTCCCAAATTTGTAGCCTCCTGCTCCAACTGTGGTGCATACTGAATTTCTGGCTTTGACTAAAATGGTAATGAAAGTCAATTAAGTCATTTGTACTTAAAGCTTTTTTTGGTAACTAGTTCTATAACACATCATCTCTATAAACATTTAAATTGAGAGAAAGTAACAAAAGTATGGTATAAAACATAAAACACATTAACCACAATATAGTTTTAATTGCACTTTCTGAACATCAGATCCAGTGCCTTTCAGATAAATAGACAGATTTCTGGCATCATCAACTAGTTAGTCAGTTCAACTTCCTGTCTCTTAAAAAAAGAGACAAGAGAGGGAAAAATTACGACAAAACATTGCATTAAACATTATACTTTGAAAAAACGAGCTCTAATTCTAGTTGATCAGGAATAATTCAGCAGATTGCCAAAACTTTTGGCTAAACATCTCTTATCTCTATTCTTTATCTGAAACATCCCATTCTCTAAATAGGAATAATTTGTAATTTACAGATGAACACACCATACTTTACATTTTTTAATAGCTCTGATCCTCTGGAATGAGAGTTACTCCATCTCAGTTATAGTCATATTTCTGAGAGCAACAGAGCTACTCTTACATTTAAGGAGGACTGAATTAGCGTTCTATGCTGAACATCAACTGAAGCTTTAACACAAGAAGGTTTAGGACATAAAATTTGCTCAGAAATTTAAGGAGAGAAAATTACTGTCACTTATTACTAAATCAAGTACAAAAGATCCAGGCCTACGACAGTGCTATAACATAATCACACAGTAGTCATATGAGTAAACCAAAAAATGCTTAAAAAAATTAAAAAATAGCTGGGCACTGGTGGCTTATGCCTGTAAACCTAGGTACTCTGGAGGCTGAGATCTGATGATTGTGGTTCAAAGGCAGCCTGGGCAAGAAAGTCTGTGAGACTCTTATCTCCAATAAACTACCAGAAAAATGGAAGTGGCACTGTGGCTCAAAATGGTAGGGTACTAGCCTTGGGTAAAGAGCTCAGATGGGGCTGGGAAGGTGGCTCAGTGGTAGAGTGCTTGCCTAGCATGCATGAGGCCCTGGGTTCGATTCCTCAGCACCACATAAGCAGAAAATGTTAGAAGTGGCACTGTGGCTCAAGTGGTAGAAGTGGCACTGTGGCTCAAGTGGTAGAGTGCTAGCCTTCAGCTGAAGAGCTCAGGGACAGTGCCAAGCGCAGAGTCCAGGCCCTACAACCCACAAAAAAAAAAAAAAAAAAAGTACTCAGAGCCCAGACTCTGAGTTCAAGCCCTATCACTGACCTAAAAAAATAAAATAATTAAAAGATGTACCTTATTAGCAAAAATAATTAAAATATTTTTTTTGGGTCTGGTCGTGGGGCCTGAACTCTGGGCCTGGGCGCTGTCCCTCAGCTCTTCAGCTCAAGGCTAGCGCTCTACCACTTGAGCCACAGTGCCACTTTCGGGTTTTTTCTTTTTGCTTATGTGGTGCTGAAGAATTGAACCCAGGGCCTCAGGCATGCAAGGCAAGCGCTCTATCACTGAATCACCTTCCCAGCCCCATATATTTTTTAACAATATAATTTGTTGAATGGTATATTTGAGAAATTTACTGCATTAAAAGAAAATTACAAGCTGAGTGCGGGTGGCTCATGGCTACTCCTAGCTACTCAGTATGAGGATATGGCTCAAAGCCAGCTCAGGCAGAAATGTCTATGAGACTCTTATCTGCAATTAGCCACCAGGACAATAGAAGTAGAGCTATGGTTCAAAGTCGTGGAATGCTATCCTTGAACATAAAAGCTCAAGGACAGTGCACAGGCACTGAGTTCAAGCCCCACTACAGACAAAAAAAAAAAAAACCAGAAAAGGAAACTACATAGTAGGGAGATGTGTGTAGATTAAAGAACCTGACATTGGGACTGGGAAGATGGCTCAGTGGTAGAGTACTTGCCTTGCATGCATGAGGCCCTGGGTTCGATTCCCCAGCACCACATAAGCAAAAAAAAGAAAAAAAAGCCAGAAGTGGTGCTGTGGCTCAAGTGGTAGAGCACTAGCCTTGAGCTGAAGAGGGACAGCGCCCAGGCCCAGAGTTCAGGCCCCACGACCAGACCCCCCTCCCCCACCCCAAAAAAGAACCTGACATTATCAAATTTCGGTTTCCAAGGGAGTCTCAGAACCATCTCCAATACTTGGGACAAATGTACATACAAAATGTCTACTATAACAGAAACTTCTAAGAATAGTAGCTATTATCATATCACATGGTACATGGTAAGATAGGAAAAAAGTAACCTTTCTAAATATTATGTCACAAGTATCTACATATTATATACCACTACTTAAGTTCAAAGTATGTAAATATATTATCTCCTTTTAATTTTATTTACTTAGCCACTAGGAAATTTAGAAAATTCAAGAGTTCTGATTACAAGGGAAAGAGGAAAGGGCAATTACAGAGTTCTCATGCCCAATGTTTCATCAAGGCCAAATAAGTAATTTTTATTTGGTAAGTATTTTTAAGTGACCAAGTACATAGTTTTATGCCAAGACACATAATCATATACATTCACTGTTGCTGGTACTTAGATGAATCTGAGGCACAATAGTTACCTGGAATATTACTATCTTCCCATCATCAGCTTGAAGATAAAAGGTCCATGAAGAGGTTATGAAGCTCTGTGCAGAGTCCATCATGTCACTCCAGAATGACCTCACCAGAGTTAGAGGGAAGAGGAGGTGCATTTTTGGCATCAAGGACATTAGCTAAATAAACAAAAAAATTTAAATGTGAAATGCATTTATTATGTATTATAAAGAACATACACATATAATCAATATAATCATAAAAATAATTAAATGAATTTACCACAATCATTAGCATTAAACTGCTATTTATGCACATTAACTAGAGTAAAACTTAAAATCCCAGGCTGCTTTTACTCGCCACCAAACATATTAACACACTACCTCTCACTTCTATTAGAATAGTCAGTTTTTGAGTCAGGTCCAAATATACAGAAAATCAAAATCTGATGAAATGTCAAGCAAGGCAATTAGAAGTTAGGGCAGAAAAAAAGGACTCTATCAGTTTCTCTTAACTTCAGTTTTTTTTTGTGTGTGTGTTTTTTTCTTTTTGGTGGTCGTGGGTTTTGAAATGTGGGCATGGGCACTGTCCCTGAATTCTTCAACTCAAGGCAAGTGCTCTACTACTTGAGTCACAGTGCCACTTCTGGTTTTCTGGTGGTTAAGAGTCTGACAGACTTTCCTGCCCAGGCTGGCTTTCAACCTCAACTCTCAGATCTTAGCCTCCTGAGTAGGTAGGATTACAGGTGTGAGCCACCGGAGCCCAGCTACAAACATAATTTCACTTGATGAAAATTAAATACAGGACTGAGGATAAGGCTCAAGTGGTAGAGCAAGGCCAAGTTTAATCCCGAGTCCTTCAAAACAAAATGAATCTTAAATGAATAAAGAAATGAATCACTATTAAAGTAGGACAAAGCAGGTAAAAAACACTTTGAAATAATGCAAGTCAATACCATCTAAACAGGCATTTATTTTTTTCTTTTTAAGAAAGATCTTGCAGGGCTGGATGTGGCTTAGTGGTAGAGTCTTGCCTATCATGCATGAAATCCTGGGTTTGATTGCTCAGTACCACATAAACAGCAAAAGTCAGAAGTGGTGCTGCAGCTCACGTGGTAGAGTACTAGCCTTGAGCAAAAGCAGCTCAGGGACAGTGCCCAGGCCCAAGTTTAAGCCCCAGGATTGGCAGTAAATAAATAAATAAATGAATAAATAAATAAATATCTTGCTATGTATCCCAGATTGGCCTGGAACTCATGGTCTTCCTGACTCAAACTCTCCAGCACTAGACTTAAAGGTATGGGCCAGAATGCTTAGCTGACAGACTTTTTCTCTACTAAGGGGAAATAAAGAAATGTCACATCTTTACTCTTTGTCTAAGATCCTCATTCTATCTTTGAACATATAAATAATATGCCAGTTATATCACTATATTTTAAGACTTAGGAACAAGTTATTCATGGTACAACAGGAATAGTTACGACAAAGTGAAAAAGTAGACAATTTTTTTTTGCTAGTCCTGGGACTTGAACTCAAGGCCTGGGCACTATCCCTTAGCTTCTTTTGCTCAAGGCTAGTACTCTACCACTTGAGCCACAGAGCCACTTCTGACTTTTTCTGTTTATGTGGTACTGAGGAATCAAACTTAGGGCTTCATGCATGCTAGGCAAGCACTCTACCACTAAGCCACTTTCCCAGTCCTCAAAAGTAGACAATTTTAAAAGATATTATTATTATTTCTTACTTGTTCTTGTCTCAGTTCAGCAAATGGCAGCTGATCTTGGCATCCGAGATGGCAAGCATATTGCTCATCAGGTTGGGAATATGCTTCTGTACATGCTGAAAGAGAAAAATAGTACATTTTAAAAAAGAGACGGGGGTAAGCAAAAAATAAAGAATAGGGTAAAGGCTAGAACTGACATTTTTCTTATGAATGTACAAATTTTAAACATGAATGTACAAATTTATTAATAGAAGAAGTGTATTATTTTAAGAGAATTTCCCGTGTGTTTCTTACAAATTAAATGTGTCATGGTAAATCTCTTAATTTCCAGGTTTTGGTTATGTGATAACATTCATGTAAGTGAAACCTTAAAGCTAAGTTTTGTGTATTAGTGTCCTGAAGATGCCATTTGAAGTTTTTTGTTGACTATCTATGTGGGCAGTAGTATTTAACCGCTAACTTGATTTCTATAGGTCTAAAGTGAAAATATTACTGCTTACTACATAGGGTTAAAAAGAATGTATTTAAGTCATTTATACAAGTATTTGTGATTACTGTTAAGAAATGAACCATTTGGTATTCTGATTAATGGTGTTATCATTAAAGGGTACTGGATTTTGTAGAAAAAAAAGGGATCACTTAGCTGAGAAACAAGGAAAGAAAAAAAAATAAGATGAAACAACAAGGAAAGAGAAAAGATGAAACAATGAGTCTAATACCCTAAGTCTTAAGAAAACTGAACTGTTCTATAGCAAGTGATTTTAAAACTGAAATAGGGCTAGGACTATAGCTCAGTGACACAGTTCTTGCCTGGCATGTACTAGGCCCTGGGTTTAATCTGCAGCACGGGGGGGGGGGGGGGGGGG